ATTTTATTTACACGCAAAGCATTCTGGGTAAATGATGACGTGCATAGGTCATCGGTGCGAGGCTGCTAGCGAGCTGTGTCCACCCTGAAGTTTAATCTTGGACAATATCTGACAATCTGCTCTTTTAAATGAAACCAGAGAGCGTTGACAGAGAGGAGAAGGTAGAAATGACTCAGTCTGTAACTGACAATATAGATGAGGACAACAGAGCTGCTTCATGGARGAAGAACCTCAGCTTAGCCTGTTAGCTTTAGTGTTAGCCCCGACGCTATCACCATATATATGTATTAGCTCAGCGCCACACATTCTCCTCTCGTCACTGAGGTCCTCCATCCACATGACAGAGAGAGGAACACAAAAATGACTCGGCTGCAACTGAAAATATGGATGGAGGTCCTCAGTTTAGTTTGTTTGTCTCGCTAGCACCGGGCTAACACATATAAGGCAATATAGCATTGGCACTAGTGCGAAGGCTAACAGGCTAAGCTGAGGTTCTTCTTCCATGAAGCAGCTCTGTTGTCCTCCATCCATATTTTCAGTTGCAGCCGAGTCATTTTTGTGTTCCTCTCTCTGTCATGTGGATGGAGGACCTCAGTGACGAGAGGAGAATGTGTAGCGCTGAGCTAATATATATATATGGTGGTAGCGTCGGCGCTAGCACAAAGGCTAACAGGCTAAGCTGAGGTTCTTCTTCCATGAAGCAGCTCTGTTGTCCTCCATCCATATTTTCAGTTGCAGCTGAGTCATTTTTGTGTTCCCCTCTCTGTCATGTGGATGGAGGACCTCGGTGACGAGAGGAGAATGTGTAGCGCTGAGCTAATATATATATATGGTGGTAGCATCAGGGCTTCCTGATGCTTTAGAGTTAGGGAACCTTCCAGCCCTTATGCTATATGTATTAGCTCAGCGCTACACATTCTCCTCTCGTCACCGAGGTCCTCCATCCACATGACAGAGAGGGGAAAAGAAACATGACTCAGCTGGAACTGAAAATATGGATGGAGGACAACAAAGCTGCTTCATGGAAGAAGAACCTCAGCTTAGCCTGTTAGCCTTTGTGCTAGCGCCAATGCTATTGTATTAGCTCGGTGCTAGCACAACAAACAAGCTAAACTGAGGTCCTCCATCCATATTTTCAGTTCCAGGCTGAGTCATTT